AGATAGCATCATCAAGAAGACATTTTCAACGCACTGAACAAAATAACTGTGCAAAAGTACTCAAATTCGAAGCTGTGATCAAGCTCAAATTTTTCACCTATTTTAATTGCATAATGTAAACGTTTGCTTTAAAGTGCGAATAAGTATTTCACCAATAGAAATGAAAGTAGATATTTCTATGTGCCTGTGTAGCATTATGGTGATTTTGTGGGCTTGGTGAAAAGCTTATCACAACTAATTATTTCGGCCATTCTCCAGTTTTAATCGTTTTCAAGCAAATGATGGCTAGAGATATCTGTTGTGAGGACCAATATTTTATCATGATCAAAGCAGACTCCCCTCGACATGTCAGCGACAAAGTAACAGTCATTGCCAGTAAGTGGTTTTCTGACCAATCAATGGCCAAATTCATTACGTTCTTATCATACTGGAAAGTGTGCACAAGGATGAGGTTCCACGACTACGTCACACGAATTAACCATACTTATTTCCAACCCATCTTTCGGGGATAAATGAGTGGATAGAAACACACGATATTTAATTGGTATGCTCATTTGCCGAATCAAGATGGGATGGTGACTCTTCAAGTTTGTGTAAGGCATGATTGACATTATCTGGGAGGGCGAGCAGGAATGAAAGGGAAGACGGGTGTCTATCTAGGATTAATGTTAGTTCCATTTTTGTTAAAGAATTGGTTTCTTGAAATCAGCAACCTTTGGATCGGGATTAATTTTATGGCTTCCTCCTACACTTGGCTTGTGTTTAGATAGAGGCAGCAGCTTGCTCTCTCAGTAATACGAGAATGCCCATCTATACGTGGGTGAATTCGCCATTGAGTTAATTGACAACCTCCCGACAACCGGTTTGGAATAGCTCGACATCGAAGTGATTTTCAGGATGGCCAAATTAAGCTCAAGGGATTCGTTTATATTCAATTATTGGGCTCTACAGGCGCGAACTGGGTCAAGATGTATAGGAGTTTGGAAGTCGCATCTTTTTTGTTTAAATAAGATACAACCTTGTCATCAGAACCGTGAGGTTTGTCTTTGAAGTAACAGTATCAGGTTGGGGTATTTGCATTCTAGCTGTCATTACTTGGTGTTGTCTCAGTATGCCAAATGAGAGTATCAAATTACTTTTTGGAGTTTCAGAGTTAACATTACAAGAAACAGAGATACTTGACAGGATCTATTTTATTTTCTCCAACAGTTTCTGTAAGGATGTCAGTTTATAGAGTGGGGTGTTGTGGCATAGAATTGGAATTACCACAGCTCAAAAATGTAGCTGAACGTAGTGTTCTTGAATTCTATCAGGTGCTTCAGTTAATTTCCTGCGACTACTTTTGTAAATGCTGTAACAATTTTGGGCAAAACACAAATCTCCCTAAAACGATGCCTACCGATATTTATTAAGACCGTGACATTTCACCGAACTCAAAACTCTACTCTATCCTAATTGAAAACTTTCGTTTGTATGCCTTACTCATGGAAAGAAAATTAGGAAAGCGAAAGCGCACATCGTCTCAACCTCTCCAGTTCCGCCATCCTCCTTCCCGCTCCCACTCCTTTATTGTTGTTTAACGCATCGATGGTCACACCTCACACCTTATCCACACAGTTGGGAAGAGTACTCTACTGAACCTCAGTAATATCAGGAATTCCTTGAAGAGCTATCTCACCTAAACCAGTCACTCTCCAAAAAAGTAGCCTCCTTATGGGGATTAAGTGCCTTTCAGTTTCAGTTTCACATCAGAACAAAATTCAAGGCATTCTTGTTTAGAAAGAAATGTGCAAAAGGTAGTTGAAAAGTGACCTCTCAGAGCAGAAGAGGTGAAAAGGAAAACCCCTAATTCTACTTGGAACTTGCATTTCATAGTGGGTCATGAAGCAACAATACGATGGGGTCCACTGAGTAGTTTTGAGTCCAAGCCTTGACTACATATGATAGCCAATTCCTCTAGAACTAAAACATGTACCACTTATGCTCTCAGTAACACAAGCAAATAAAATTAATTACACGTTCGAATTTTATTAAAATATTAAGAAAATCAGTTACTAGCACAAAGTGCTAACAGCTCTGTACACAGGTTACAAAAGTTCTCGAAGAGTCTAGTCCCACAACTTAATAACACCATCCCAACCAGCTGAAACGACTTTAGATGTTTCATGCGGTAGCCAGGCAAGTTCAATACAGACGGAATCATGCGCCTTCCATTTTGTGAGAAGACGAGTCGTTTTCCAATCCCAGAGGTGAATCAAACCATCACCATCTCCGGATATGACATATCGAAGATCCGGCGACATGTCTGGAACACATGCGTAGCCAGATACTGTGTGTCCTCTAAAAAGCTTCTTGCGCATTCGTTTATAACCCGCAAAGACGTTAAATACGACAATCTGATTATCGAGGGATTGACAGAGAAGATACTTTCCATTAGGTGACAGTGTAACAGCAGGCATCGAATGCAGGGAAGGATCAGCAAGGTACTTAAAATCCACAGGGATATCCCATTCCCATACACGAAGAGATTTGTCATCCGAAGTGGAGACGAAGCGTCTATTATTGTCCACAAAAGTCACTGTGTTCACGGCGCCCAAGTGACGGTCGTATTGTTGAACTACTTCACCACTACGAACGTCGTACTGAAATCAAAGAAGTAGAAAGTGTTAAATAAGTTAAATGGGGAGAAAGTGACGCCACATTATTAACTTACGCAGAGAATCTTCTTGTCAGCACAACCAGCCAAGAAGAGATGTTGTTTGTCCTCATCAGGATTAAACTTGACACAATATGCAACCTTCTTGAGATTGAACTGGCCGGAGCAGTTGCCCGTCTCGGTATCCCACAACTTGATAAATCGATCGTAAGAGGCAGAGAGGAACTGAGTTCCGGCTGTGTTGAAAGTAACGTCGCGTACAGCTTGACGATGACCAATGTAGGAACGAATTAATCGTCGATCACCGTACATCTCCCATAGCTAGAATTCAATAAGTTGTAACAGTGAGTAAAGAGAAAAGTACGAAACAGATAACCTGGTCTTATAAAAACATGGTATCAGTTATTTATGAATGGATAACTCCTATTCATTAAAACTATACTGATCTACAAAGGACCAACATACCCATCCATTAATTCATTAGATTACTCGTCTCAATACGCCATTTCAATGTATAGGTGGACAATTAGACATGAAATAGCCTTTTCGTGGCTATTTAAACAAATAGAGCATTTGATTACATCAATTGGAAACACTCAGCAAGGCTCAATGCTATATTCAAAATATACGAATGATACTAAGATGAAATGTGATTTTTTACTTAATGAATGATTAAAGTAAAGCGGTTGATGTAAAGTAGTCATAATTTAAAGTAATAAAACATCATTTACGATGAACCGATGACATGTAAGAGATAGATCAACTGCATTAGATTAATTTTGAGGGCATTTTGAGAAAAAATCAATAAGCAAAATTGAAATGCCTCGCAATGAGACGGGATTGTTTCCCCAAAAATTGAAAATTCGCATCCAGAAAAGCATGAATATAAGTCGGCACAAACTTTAAATTTATTCTAACAGCAGTAACATAAGCAAAAGTGATACCATGTCGTTTAACGAGATGGTGATATCATAGTCCAAAAAAGACTACCTTCAAACCATCACCCAAAAGCCCAGTCAGATATATGTTACTAAACATTAAACTTGATGGAGGTAAAATATTATGAAGTCTTCACAGTAAAAAAACTCAACGATGTATGAAGCCCTGAACTCTGACTTCACAGACGAGAACATTAACAGTTAGACCTTCAAATAGTTCACGTAAAAACGCCTCTTAGTCAGAAAAAACACACGAAGAAGCAAGACTCAATATAAAGAAATCAATATCAACAAAGATACGTACCTTGATCTTACTGTCCATACCGGCAGACAAAAGCAAGTGTCCAGTCTTCGGGAAAAGACGAATGGCAGATACGCCACGGGCATGAGCGTTACTCCATTCATGAATAAGTTTTTTGGGTAAGAAGCACCTTTCCGGTGGCTCATCCGTGATCAAATTAACGCCAGGAACATCGTGAGGAGGATGTATGAATGAGCGACCTTGGTAATCCAATGGCGTAGAGATATGAAGAGTCGTCTTCTCTTCAGACATTGGCGCCTCTTCAACACGCTTCTTCTTGACAGCCTTCTTGGCCAAATAGGCCTCCAGGTAGACTCTATCTTCCTCTGAAGGTACCGAAACTGTCACCTCGTCCTTGTACTTTGCCCAGGGACCCGTGTAATTCTCACTTGAAGGATCCCAGTTAGCATCCAATTGACGTTTCTTACTTTTCGAGAAACCTTTGCGTTCTGCAACGGTTTTACCTAGAAATAAAACAGAATACTCATGAGTAATAATTATGATAAACGATAGAAATACGTAAAACAGAAATAAAATTACCTTCTTCATTTTCGACCCTTTCAGGGGAGCCAACAACTTTACCCTTGTTGACTCCAAGAACGCTGGGATCGTCAGCATACCCATACCGCATAAAAGTACGGTATTGATTTTCGAAAGTAAATGGATTAACATGAGTTGGTTCAACTATTCCGGTCAGCATATTTTTTGGAGCTTTCTGAGATTCGGAAGAAAACGGATTCTCGGGTCCAACCTAAATAAGAAAGGCAACCAAAAGTAACAGATCAAAACTTAGAGAAAACACAGTACTTCATAGACTCAGGCAAATCCTACCTTTGGAGCAAACAGCTGGTCATAACGGGGATTGTGAACTAATTCTCTTGAATGAGGATCGACAGGAACTACTTTAAGAACATCTTCCTTGATTTCAACAGGGGCAATTGTGTTAACAATTGGAACCAATGAAGACGAAGAAATAATCTTGGGAGAACTCTGAGCTTCATTTGATTCATCGTCTGAAGAGCTACCGTAGGCTCCAAGGGCTTCCATTAGGGTAAGAAGATAACTAACAACTTTAAGCTATCCGCCTGAGCTTATTGGACAAACTATTTCACTGTTTGTAAATACCATAATCAACTTTGAATTTATTTTTTTTATAAAAATCCAGCATAAATTATATTCCGTCTTATTTTACGTAGAGCGTCAAAATTCCAAAAATCAAATATATATATTTTAATCAATACAGCAAGCGATGTATATAGGCGGTTATAATCAATCAGCAATTTGATTTTCAGCTTTGAAATTCTCAATATATAATTTTATTTACACTACTAACTAATTAGTTGATATTCAGAGTAGAATTGATTCTCAAAATTTGAATTTTAAAGCTGTCAAATAAGTGAAATGTTTAACATTTCAAAATATAATGAAATTAATTTTTAGAAATTCCATTACTCTTGAGTACTACGGTTAGAATAGGAGAAATGTGTATATTTTAAATTTTTTCTTTGTCTCTATATGGGTAAGATAGAAAGATTCAATAAATTACGAATGAACAATGTCAATACACGATTAACCAGTTGAAATATGGCTGATAAAATTGTTTTCAGATATTATTTCAACGCAATTATGTAGTTATTTGTTTACATTTTGCTAAAATATAAGACAAGGTGTGATCAAGTGGTTTTTAAAAAGCAACTCAACACCGGCATCTACTCTAGAACGTGCTAATGGATACTTACAAAGTAGGCACCCACCACAAGACTCGTTACCGACCGAGCTATTTATTTAAATATTTCGTACAAGTAGTCATGTAGATTAATTTTACTCCATAACTTACTCTAATAAGATAATAATATTATGAATAGGTACACATATGTAAAGAACCGCGCGGTAAACAAAGTTCACTTCATTTTAACTTCAATTACAAATTCATGTTTGCTATTATTTACCACAAGCTTCTCATACTCGATTCTTCAGTTTCATTCCATTTTTCTTCTCATTTTTTTAAAATGTCTTAGAAGGAGCTGTCTTCATTTGAAATATATTTTCAAATCTATTATGAATTTATTAACTCTTTCATTTTCCCAGTGGTAGAATTTAAAGGCTTGATTTACGCAATTCTCCTTATATAGTTGAAATGTGGCGAGTACTACTTGAATAAAAGATATTTCCTATTGCATATAAATATCAAAGGGAGAGAAACCACTACTTTTGTGAAGACTTTAAAGTCAGTGAATGGTAAAAATTGTATGGTATATTTCAATCAAATGAGAATTTTCTATGGCTGGCAAAAATTCTACACAGTTAAAACGAAGCATCGAATAGAAACGGAGGTATTTAAAATCATAATATAGAAGCAAAAGGTCATTTTATTCAATAAATTTTAAAAATTCGCGACAAAGCAAGTATCTTATTATCGCATGGTGCATGAATTAGCAATTCCAAACATGGCATAAATTTGATTAACAATTTATATTTAAACTTCTAATTTTTCTTACCGAAGACATACAAAAAGATAATAATTTAAATAATTAATGTTATATTATTCAAAAATATTTCGCGGTTAAAATTTTTTCTTTAATTTGTTTAAACTATAAAGTTTAATTACACCGATATCGACCTTGAAAGAGCGGCCTTTCCGTGTGGGTATTCCATTTTGCGCCTTCATTCTTTGAGATAAACCATCCGATCTTTATCAATGACCTGGTTCCGCCTTTTGTTTTTTCGGCATGAAATTATTTTAAGCAATTTGTGATACAGTGTATGGACAAAATCGATTTCCAATGTAATAAGCATCGACACAATATATATATCTTCGATTAAACATTCGTATTTGTCAGCAAATCGTCGTCTTTATCAACGTAACTTTCGACCAAGTAAGATGAACAGTGTTTCTGAAGATGATCTTGCTTGCACGGATGAAATTAAGGTGTACGAAGACGAGGGAGAAGAAGATGAACAAGTTAAATCTTCCGAAAATCTGACTGAGGATAAAGTGGGTCTCGTCATCGAAAGCGAAGAACAGGTAATTTGATATTTTTTATTTTTATGTTAAATCTATGTTTTTTGTTTTTTAAATATTTTTTTGAGTTGAAGTCTATATTGAAATCTGTTATTTTCTCGAATTTTTCTCATTACTCTCAATGTACTGTAATAATATTTTGAAAAAATCAACATTTTTATGGGAATGCAGCTATTTGTATAATCAGAGAATTGTTCAAAACAAATATGTTTCTACTTTTTAAATTCATATTTCATGTTTTGTTCTTTTTTCGCCTCCAAATTGTTTCTTCTTTGCATTTACTGGACATCAAAATAAACTCCTTACATTCCAATTTTTCTCAGGACAAGTGGCATACTGTCTAATGATAATCTGTTGATACTGATTTTTATTAAACGGTTAGTTAAGGTTCACGGCATCGCTTTGATCACTTTTCAATAATATAAAGGCTTTACGCTAATTTTTTATTGTGCTCCATATTGGAAATAATGTGTTATTGTCAAGTTCGATTACAGATGTTAAGTTCGGACCCACGTCGTTTGGTAAATCCAATCGAACAAATGTATTGGTAAACCTTCAATATTTTACCGTTTTTTATTGAAATTGTCGCTTTATTCACTGTTTGAACGCTCGCTCATCTAGAAAGTCAAAGGCCATTGTTTTGAATTTCACTGATTCACATTCTCTGCTAGTTAAAGCTGGTCGATATTAGCCACCTTGAAGTCCTTCAGTAGCCGTCTACTTAATGCATAAATAAAAGGAATTTGGGCATTCAAAATACGTTTCTCATGGATAAATGCTTTTGAACACCCAACTGGGAGACCTTGACAAAACTTCATGATTTTATTTCTCTTTTGCATTTAATTGTGTGATATGTCAAGCCAATCATCGGTTGATATATCAATGATTTTCAAAATCATTATTTGGCACTTGCTAACAATTAGTTATTTTTGGTCAATTTGTTCTTTAAAATTTTATTAGTTTTAAAGTATTTGGTAAAGTACGTTTGGATTTCTGCTTTAAACGTTTTACTTGGAGCTGCAAAATTCATCTGCTTAATTATTCAAATTTAGATATTATAATGGGTTTTAACTTATCATTCCAAACCCAGAATTGTATCATTCATTCATTGAAATTTCACCGTCCATCTCCGATACTAAAACCCTACTTCACAAATTTATGACAAATTTAGTCGAAATTTGATGTCTCAAAGGGCTTTAAAGCATTCAGCTAGGGAATAACATCTTTGACAGATTCGCTATATGCTGTCTCTGGTAGTTCAACTGTTGAATTTTAATCATTCAGCCCCTTATAGTCATGTCCATCCTCTTTAATTTCCTCTTTAACCAACTTCAAAGTCCATTCGAGCACCCGTCTAAGACATCAAGGACCTATTAAACCCACAATTTGTATTCCCTTTAACTCCATATCGTACTGTAGTTTTTTTGAGCCCTGCTTGTTAAGCCTCCAGCAAATGAATCACTTCTTAGCTAATTATATTCACAACTGGCTATTGATCAAGGCTGGTTATTGATCATGTGTTCTGAAACAACCTGAACATGAATCGAAGCCACGACGGACGCACGATTTCCCTCTGTTATAACACCTTATAGAGCTAATACATCTGAAGTGTAATGTTTCATTATGCGATCAAGCTTCCGGTAAAAGAGAGTCTTAGCCCTAGCATAGACTCACGGAAAAATTACCATGCAGAAGGCACAACTTGTCTTTTCTCGTTGCCTCACCGTCTACTCTCCTGCATTGGCTTGGTCCTCCTCCTCTCTCTCCCTTTCTCGTTGCTAGAAATGACTCACGCGCTCTCTCTCTCCTACACCGTCGTAGTCGTTGCTTTTGTGTTGGTGACGATGACTCCATGTACACACATGTGTGTTTACATAGCCTCTTTTTTGTAAGTAGTATTTCCTCCTCCCAGACAAAAATCACTATCTCAGATTCAGATCAGGCGGACTGCGCAATTTGAAAGGGAGTGGAACAAGACTTACCTGTTTTCTATTTGGTTTAATTGCCCACGATTAGCTCTTTTATACTCTGCACGTCGAGTTCACGGGTCACAAATGTCTAATAGCCCTTACACGAAAATCAACCTTCACCACACATTAATATGGCGTTTTTTCATGGATATGGGACAGGAGCATCATTATTACCAGCAGTATTGCCTTCACACACGATGATTGGCATCATTGCCTCTCTCTCTCTCTCACTCGCCCTCGTTCTCCCTATTCATTCTTTCATTCAGTCAGTAAGAGCAGTTAAGCTCTCTCTCCCTCAGACTGACAATGGTTGTCATGGGAGCGACACACACACACTGTACACTTCCGCCATTCAGCAGAATGAGTAGGAGGAGAAGGGTTGAATAGGTTGACGAAACAGAAATGTGGAGAGAGAGAGAGAGAGAAGGGGTCACAAATAAAAGC